GAAAAACTGTGACCGAAGAGAAATTTAAGCACACGGGTTCATATCGACGAGAATTCATGGCGAAAGGGATTACTCAATTTTCCGCTAATTTCCCATTTTACTTTTGTCGGCAAATTTGTCTCTTTACCTCTCTCATATTTGTCCTCCGTTACTCTCTCTATTCTATTTACGTGTCGTCTTTATTAAAAATAGATATTATTTAATATTTTTTATGTCCTTAATTACTTGTTCATTTTTTCTTTTTTTAGTTATTCCTAATTACTTGTCCATTTTAACAAATCAATAAAGGATATTTATTTTTTTATCAATTATAACCTCAATGAGCTACTTTGAAAAAGGTAGAACATTTTGAAAATCTTAAATTTTTTATTCATTCAGTTTAGGGGTGTGCATCGGTCGGTTCGGTTCGGTTTTATGAATTATCGGTTCGGTTTTCGGTTTTTAAATACGCTAAACCAATAACCAACCAATAAGATAATTTTTTATCGGTTTTGGTCCTTAACAGTTCGATTTTCAGTTTAACCAATAAGATTATGCTTATAAAATAAATATATGACTTCTCTAATAAATTTGACACGACACGACAATAATGTAACTTTACAAAAGCTCATAAAATAGAAATAATAATAACAAACATGAAAAGAATTATACATATGTGACACAAAGAGAAATAAAAAGGAATATGATTCTTACTTTAGGTTTTGACGATTTGTATAATGTAAAGTTGTGAACTCAAAGTCACAGCGAAGTATGAATTGATGGCTAAATGACAAAGACATAACTATTAAGATATTGAGATTAATATTTATTAATATGCATGTATATGTAAAGTATTAAATTACTATAGTCTTAATTCTTAATGGGTTATCGGTTTACCCAATAACCCAATATTGAAAATCAATACCGAACCGATAACCCGATAATTTTTTTTATAAAATCATTAAGAAATCGTTAACCCAATAACCCAATAGCAATAAATCAATAACATTTTTTTCGGTTCGGTTTTTGCACACCCCTAATTCACTTCATAATTAATAGGGATAAAATAGTAAACTCACTATGTCATTAATTATTTTTTAATAGGTGTGTCAATTCAAAATTGAACAAGTAATTAGGGATAGAGGGAGTAGTACTTTTTATTTCACAAAAGTAATGCATAAATAATATTACTCTTCCTATTTTTCCTTGAGAATTATCGGCCTTGAAAGTATGAATTTGATCAATATAGAAAAACTAAGTATTCTATTCATGTTCATCGGTCAAATTAATTAACTTATGTTCATTTATTGAAAACTAGACTTAAAGAAAACACTAAATAAATGTACAATGATAAACTTATCTAATCCTAAGGAGTGTGAAACCTAAAATTGTTGGGTTTGAAAGTGATTAGGGCGTCATACGAAAGCTTACAATTGCAAATCAAATGTCGATAAATTAGACGACACATAAAACTATACTCTAAGCCATAATATTATTATTTGATATGACCAATTGGATTACATAATTAAAAACATAAAAATTGTAGAGAGAAAATCTCCCCGTAAACAAAACTCTCTAAGTGTTTACATTGTGGATGTTATAGTGTTATGTAGGGGTGGCAAATGGGTGGTTTTGATCGGATTTGGATGGATTGAATATGGATTGAGTGAAAATGGATTGGATCACAATCCAGCCATATAAAATATGAGTAAATATGGATTTGGTCAAATATGGTTTGGATAAAATGGTTTTAACCCACTTTAATCTCTTAAAGCAAAAAAAAATTAAATCAAAACATTGTTATGTATGATAATAGGGATCTTCAAACTTTTCCTCTAAGACCATCTCCAACCCACCTCTATTTTACTCTCCATTTTCTATATTTGGAGAGTAAAATAGAAAATGGGCTCTCCAACCACACTCTCAATTTCTATTTTACTATTATTTCTATTATTTTGTAAATAACATATTATTTTTTATATAAGGTCATTAATGAAATCTCTAATATTCGTAATTCTTTTTAAATGTAATACAACATTTTAAAAAATATGTAATTTGATATATACTGCTTTCATTCCGAATTAATAATATTTCAATTCTTTTTAAATTTTCGTTACTTTAATAGAATTTGATATTATTATTAATTTTAACTATGAAGAATGCACCAAAGTAAAATGATAAGATGAAAATTTTAATTTAAAAATATAATACATAACATAATAATTTAAATACAAAATAATAATACAATACATAACATAATAATTTTATAACAACAAGAATTTAGTAATCCGGTGGTCGTTTCCAGATTTAACAATATTCGAGAAAAAAATAGTATATGATCCCGAGAACTGTTGTGATTGTGATTGCGATTGCGGTTGTGCTTGTTGATTTATGTAATGTTCATGTAATTGTATTTCATTCATGATTTCACTTTTATTTGAATTGTCAATTAATTTGTATATTATATAATACTCCCTCCGTCCCATTTTATGTGAGGTAGTTTGACTCGGCACGGAGTTTAAGAAAGAAAGGAAGACTTTTAAAAACTTGTGATCCTAAATGAATGATAGAAATTTGTGTGGCTGTAAATCATTTCATTAAAGGTAAAATATACATTTTATAGTTAAATTTTTACTTATATGTGTCATTCTGTTTGGGATTACTAAAAAGAAAAGTAAGTCACATAAATTGGGACATAGGGATGTATTAGCTTGCAATTTCTGTTATTTAGAATAAAATAAAATTTATATTAAACAATGAATTTGAAAAAAATAAAATTCTATATTAAATAAAAATTATATAAAGTGATTATTTGAAGAAAAATAAAAGAGAAAGGATTTATTTCATGAAATAAGAAAATGAGAATGAAATAGAAATAATAATAGAGAGGAAGATTCATTTTATTTCCAGAGAGTAAAATAAAGAATTGGATTGGACTTGGTTCTCTGAATAAATAGAGAACTCTATATTTGGAGAGTAAAATATATAAAGTGATTATTTGAAGAAAAAAAAGAGAAAAGATTTATATTATGAAATAAGAAAATGAGAATGAAATAGTAATAATAATTAATACTGAGGAGAGAGAAGAAGATTAATTTTTAGAGAGTAAAATAAAGAATTGGGTTGGACTTGATTCTCTAAATTAATAGAAAACTCTATATTTGGAGAGTAAAACAAAGGGTAGGATTGGAGATATCCTAAGGAAAGAATAAATCAAATATGAAAGAAAATTATAGTTTCGGTTCAGGAAAAGTTTAAACACTTAGGGTGTGTTTGGTATGAAGGAAAATGTTTTCCTGGAAAATAAGTTGATTTTTGACTTATTTTCTCATGTTTGGTTGGTGAGTTGAAAATATTTTCCGGAAAAGATTTTTAGTGTTTGATTTATGAATGAATTTTATTTTTTTGAGAAATATCTTTTATTTTTACTAGGGTAGAAAATAATTTTTGAAATTGAAAATACTTTTTAAAAACAAACATAATTTTTTTGGGGGTGGGGGGGTCGGTTGAGGGTAGAGGTGAAAAATTGAAATTTTGAAGTTAAAAATATTTTTTAAAAACAAACTTAATTTTTTTTTTGGGGGTGGGGGGTGGGTAGGGGAGTCAAAGGTTGGGGTGAAAAAATAAATTTTTGAAGTTGAAAATGTTTTTTAAATGATTTTATGAAATAAAAATTGATAGTTAAATCACCGTCTCAAAATTAACTCAATAATAGAACGTAACAGTACGTATTTCGCATACTTTAATTTTGTTCATTGTCAGATATCTCAGGAAGTAAATGTACTTTGATTATTGGTAAAAAAAAAAACAGTCACCAAGTAAAATCCGCGATCCCACAAGATAATTTTTTTCATTACCCAAAAAGGTAGTAAAAAAAATACAATTGCAAATTGACATTTTAGGAAAGTTGATGTGTCAGTGACTCAGTGAACTTTAATCCATTGGGCTTAACTGCTGCTGGAGCCCAATGTCTTCTAAGCAAGTACCCTCTATGACGTACAATTTTTATTTTTTTTTACCCTGGATCTCCCACCTCTTTTACTCCCTTGGTGACTTGAATTCGCAACCTTCGAGTTGGAAGTGAGGGGTGCTTACCATCCGAGCAACTCCCTCTCATCATGACGTACAAATTTCGAAAAGATTATTTTCCTTTTTTCTATTTCACAATCTACATATTATAATTTTAAAATTTTCTATCATTTTAAAAATTACAAAAGTCTTCTCTCGGATAATTGCTATCTCTTCTCAGATACATCTCTCATTAAGTAATGTATCCGAGAGCAATGAAAAATGTGAAATTTTTGTAATTAGGGAAATTTTCAGGATATGATGTAATTAGTATGTGATTTTCTCAAAAAATTCACCGGTCACAATTTTGGATCAATTTTGAAATAAAAACATAGTTGCTCACATTTGTGTGCAAGTTTTGGTGATGTGAACTTGTGAACAATTTGTAACTTGGCAAGTTTTTTTTTTTCATCTATCAAGAAGTTCTTGGTGATCCGCCCCACATTCGTAAACAATTTTTTTCAAAGATCACGATACAATCTGTACTATCATGGTAATTCACTTATACTTGTTGCATTCGAACTTATTCTAACCCACAAGCTATTTGCTATACTTAAAATGGAATCAAAAATTAAATAGTGACAATGAAAGTACCATATTTTTGCAAATCACCCTTAACTAGGTCGTTTGGTTAAACAACTTTAATCTTGTACCCGAAGAATGTTATTTTTAAGTAAATAATTGTAATATAAAGATGTCAGACGGTGAATAGTAACATAAGGACTGTTAGTTTTTTTTTTTTCCTTTTCTTCACGAGGATCAATAGTGTTCTAACTTATCCTCAGTCATAACTTCCGATTGATAGGGAAGGTGTTCAACCACTTGAGCAAACTTCACTTGTCAATTAGTACGATGTTTAATACTTAGGCTGCATTAATTACGCAAAGTTACAATTAGTTATAAATTAAATTAATACAGTTTTATTTTGAAAACAAATTACTCATATACAATAAGTTACAATTGGTATCACTCATGAGTTCTCGTTCAATCTAATATAAAATATATATCAAGATCCACAAGACATGAACAAAGGTTTAACAAAACAAAAAAAACGCTCTATTGAAGTACTCAGGAGTGGGGATTATGTAGTATGGGTTTATCCGAATCTTCTTCGCCCCCAAAGCACACAGTATATTTACAAACTTAATTTTATCTCTCTATATATAGCAGATGATGAATCCTCTTGTAAAAATATCTCTCTGACAATATCATGCACTCTGAGCTTCTAGAAATGTAGTGAAATCTTCTCTAGATGTAAGCATTCGTGGTGTTATGCAGGACGTAGGTGATGGCGGGTACGATGTCGGGGACGACGTAGAAAACCGAACATGTCGGGTCGATTCATGTGATTTCCTCGAAGAAGTTGTTATTGTTGATGTATTTTTGAGGACCCCTTTCACTTCCTTATCGAAAACAAACCCAGTCGTAACAGGGGAAAACGTGTCGTCGTTCACATTACTGCACCGGATGAGCTCCAATGGCAGATCGAAAAACATGTTGTTGGAGGCTGTATCTCCAACGTCGTTGATTATAGCTGCCGATGATGTCCACGACCCACATTCGAATTTCTCCAACGAAACTGTCCTTGAAACAATATGTGGTCCTATATCGGACGATGATACACCGCTTACTTGCCTTCTCCCTGATTTTACATGTTTGATTCCCTTTCCAAATCCTGGAATGAACAAACACAACGCTCCACATTTAAACTTTTGCTCGTCCTGATTTCGTCCCTCCAACGTTTTTTTCTCATAAATTTCATCATTTCTGTTGCTAATTTCTGATTCAGGGGAAAAGCTATTGTTATTGATCAAGTACTTATTGTTGTCTTCTGGTACTTGTTGAATGATACTATTAGGGGTGAACCAAATATCGAATTCTTCAGGTGGGGCACTAGCTCTGCCTTCACCACACGACTTGCTCCTCCGTAATTGGATTTCTCTTAACCGTTCAAGGTTTGTTAGAGCCACGGAGTGTTGGCGAGCCAAATGATTTGTTGATGATGACAAAGGAGATGGTAGTTGACTGATATGGTTTTTCTTCGAAAAATCAGGAGATGAGGTTGTTGAATTTGGCAAGCTGAAGCTGGAGATTTTCTTAGGAATATTGAGAGTTTTGGATTTTGAATAAGGGATTGTAAGTTCATTTGGTTCTTTCAAGGAGATAGGATCCACTGAAATCTGTTTCGCACTGCCTGGGTTCTTGTTCATAAAGGGATCAGTTACTTCAATGAAATCAGATTCTTGAGGATCCATAAAGGCAGGCATATATTTGAGCTGATTGTGAAGCTGAAAGTAACTAATTAAAACTGAAGAGAGGTGAACAATAAGTTACATGAATGAGGTATTTATAGGAGAAATGCGGCAAATGGGGTAGAGTTAGAATGTGGATGCCATGTCTTTCAAACCTTAAAAGTTATGATTCCCACGTTCTCTGTCTCTCACTCTCACTCAGTATGATAATTTCTATGACATGGGATGCACTACCTGATTTAGTTTTAGCAATTCTCTAGAACCAATTAGAAGCGTAGTGAGATGGTTCAGATTTCTTTACTCTTAATTAGATGTCTTAGGTTCGAGTTCTGAGAATGAATATCCATTAGTTGGACCAATAAATATTGAATACTAACCAAAAAATTATAGATAATCTGGAAGACTAATTCAGTGTAACAGACACCCACGTCTAGCATTAGTAACAAATAAAAAAATTCTTTTAATAATAAATCACAAAGTCGTCTGATGGGTGACACACAAGAGAGTCTCCTTAACTAGTGAGTTGGGAAATTGATAGTTGTATAAATTTTTAGGTGAAGAGAAAAACAAAATGTGGATTGAAGAGGAGATTCATTGATTCAATTGAGCTGATATTTTGACATAAGGATTTACCCTAATTAAGTCAACTTCACTCGTGTGTTTGGACCTCTAAGGCTCAAACAAATTAAATAATGTAGTGAACGTGCAGCCACACGGTTACTTAGAAGTATATAACCAACCAAAGCATGGAGAATAGAAGAATGTAGACATATAAAACTCCAAACAAAAGACAGCAATGCTCCAACACTGCACATGAATGCCCATTCAAGTACCCATTCTTCGAGAACATGCAAAATGAAATATAGTTGCTTCATTCCACGAGAATCATATTTTTTTAAAAAATATAATGATGGTGTCTGGGTGCTAGCTAAACCTCGACTAGTTCACTGAGTACCTGCTACCTTTCACTTGCACAGGTAGTCTGAGTACCTGCTACCTTTCACTTGCACAGGTACCATGTAACTGTGTCCATCAAGATTTGGTAGACGGGAAGAAATCCTACCCATGAGCATCAGAAAATTCAAAATTAGATTCATGGTATAATATCAAACTGGCTAATATTCGAGAAATAGGCTTTATTTGCAATGGATGTACGCAGACTACTTACAGATATAAAATGGAAAAACCTTCACTAACACAATCAACACAACAGATTGCCAATTAGGATGGAGAATGCAGAGAGACCAAGTACAGAGCTCCATTTCCCTGCGTGAAAAAGTCCATAGTCAGAATCAGCTCCAGAAGATTTTGAACTTATCAACCAAAAAAAAAATGCTTCTGGGAGCAACAAGTCCAGCAAGAATTCACAAGTAAAATTCGAGTTGAAAATTTTCTATACTAGCTCGATTCTAATTTGATCATGACTTAATCAACTAATATTTACCAAAGAAAAAGTGAATTTATCATCTCTTCTATCGGTGTTCCCAAAAATAAAGTTAATATCGGTGTTCTTAAGCCTACACTAGATTGCACACAGACTAAATGATACTTAACTGATACTAGAGACAGACTGCTAAATATAAAAGCACAGATTCTTAGCATTATCTCATCCATTTACCACAGCTGCAGAAACTTCAGGGTCATCACTCTCATCGGCCTCCTCAATCTCTTCTGATAAGTCCCAGTTCATGTTGAGCCGCATGGCAGCCGCTTTTGGATTGACACTGGTGTCTGTGGCTTTTGCATCAGGGATTTGCTAGGTCTGCTTTTCTTCGGCTTCAACTTGAATCCAACATGAATAGCACATAACCATTAGTTGGCTGATGATGATACCAATGCCATTACTAGGGCATAGTATTTAAGAATCCACTAAATCAAAGATCTGAATACATCTTATGTGGCCTATTACACTACTTTCGCCCTTTCCAACTTACACGACAATTACTTATGTGAGGTTCGTTCCTTCAAAATTACTTTTCCACTATAATACACCGGTCAAACTAACATCTTAAAATCTGTATCCCATAAAAGCAGATAGAGGAGTAGTTCTCTTCCAATAAGTGGATCTCAGAGAGTTCTGAAAGAGGAGTTTTGCTACCTGGTCAGAATCATTTGACGATAAGTTGATGCTGATGGGTGTTCATGGTCCATTTGAAATGCTACACCATCTGGCTTGGATGTAAACATCAAAACTAAGTAGTATAAATTACTCTTGGAGATTTTGTAGATGAGGTGGTTTCCTGGGATGAGTCAATGTTGATTAATCAGAGTACATTGTCACCAATAGTCCCCACATGAGCAGTTCCCACCATGGAAAACATGAAAGCGGTTTTTGTCCTTGATGACAAGCGTTCTTCCGAAAACTTTGGAGATATATTTACACAAAGAGTGGCAATCATTGCATGCTCGGAGATTTTTTGTCACCCGTATGATTGTTCCTGGTTTTGTTCTCATCAATCCAAAAGCAATGGCCAACTTCTCACTATGGTGATAAAGAATGTCCTTTTTCAGATCCTCTGCCACATCCTGATAAACAGACTTTAAATCAGGCACATATCCTTCTTCTTGTATTCTAAAGATTAAATCCTTCAGAAACCTAGAAATTTCAAGATACAGGGGATGATCCTTTTCGCTCGCCATAAATGTGTAAACGGTTCCACTGATCTCAATCGAGCTCAGGCCTGGATCCTTCTTCAAACTTTTCGATCTGAGCAATAATCTGGTTGACTTTACATCCTCCAAATTTCCAGACAGAGAATAAATATTTGAGAGAAGTACATAATATCCTGCATCATGTGGCTTCAGCTCAAAAAGCTTCTGTGATACCTCGACACCTAGCTCAATATTCCCATGAGCTTTAGAAGCACCAAGCAAAGCACCATAAACATCCACACCTGGTTGCAAATGCATGTTCCTAATTACTGAGTAAGCATCATTTAATCTCCCTGCACGTCCAAGAAGGTCAACAACACATGCATAGTGCTTTTGATTAGGATATAGGTTCCATCTTGCTACCATATTATCAAAAATATACAATCCTTGATCAACCAACCCAGCATGACCGCAAGCACTCAAGACAGAAACCAAGGTTGACTCATTTGGATCTATACCTAAATCCTTCATCTTCAGGAAAAGGTCTATTGCATCATTACCGTACCCAAGCATCCCATTACCAGCAATCAGTGCATTCCAGCATGCAGCATCTTTCGTAGCCATCCCTTCAAAAAATCTTCTGGCATCACCTAACTCAGCACAATTTACATACATGTCTATAATAGATGATCCCAAAAAAGTATCACCTTCAAAACCAAATTTTATCACCAATGCATGCACCCTCCTGCCTTGCTGCAAAGCTCCTGAACTGCTGCATCCTGAAAGGATACCTATCAGTGCAACCGAATCAAGCTCCATTTCATCCGTTGCCATCATCTGATTGAAATGTTCCACAGCCATACTCCAGTTTCCACTCTTCACAAACCCCGTTAACATCAATGTCCAAGCAACTACATCTTTTACAGGCATCTCACAGAATATACAGTAAGCATCATCAACACAGTTTACACCAATATACATCTCTATTAGACCAGTTTCAACACGTTGGTTGTTATAATGACCAGATTTAACTACTAAACCATGTACTTGAGTAACTATTTGTAAATCCCCAACGCCAAAAGTAGCAGAAACCAAACTCATTATCGTAAACGTATCCACTGACAAGCTCCTTCTCATTAAATTGAAAAGTCGAATTGCTTCCTCAACCAGACCATTATTAGAATAAGCAAAAATAATCGCGTTCCACGAGACAATGTTCCTCTCAGACATACTATCAAACACGTATCCGGCAGCAATGGGATACCCCAATTTCGAATACATATGAACTAATGCACTTTGGACAAAGACATTACATGGATCCTCTTGCTTAACCCAATAACAATGAAGTGATTTCCCTATCAGGTTCAACTTTAATTTTCCAATAGCAGGTAAAATACTTGAAATTGTGATTGCATTAGGCATTAACCCACCATTAACCATCTTACCAAACACCTCAATAGCTTCAAGAAAAAAGCCATTTTTTGTAAACCCATTTATCAATATGGTCCAAGAAACTAAGTTTTTGTGTTCCAACAGAGAAAATATTTTGTGGGTTTGTGTTATAACTCCACATGATGCATATGAATTCATCAGTCTGTTACAAAGACGTGTATTCTGAGAAAGACCAGAGATAACAATGTGGGCATGAACTTGTTCAATAGGCTTTGGTTCCTTGAGTCTTTGGAGGATTGAAGCATGACATAGCTCAGTAGCATTGAAGTGAGAAATTTTGAATATTGCATTTTGCCGCAAAGTGGAACTGTTCACTAGAGTTGAAAATCGAATCATTTCATCTCGATTTTGCGTAAGAATAAAATTTTATATTTGAAAACAAAGAATTTCATAGACTTTATAGTCGAGAATCCCGATCACCATTTTCATCCAACCACTTCCAAGTTCCAATGACAACATCTCCGCTACAACTGCACATAACAAATTAACTTATATATGTACAACTTATACTGTATTAGATAAAAAATAAGTTATTTATGTAGAGATTTAATATGACATTTGTTTAATAATTTAAAAACTCGCATAATTAATACTTCTAACTCCAACCAGCTACCAAACAACCAAATGATATTTGAATGGCATAGAGTTTATATAGATTGACTTAGTATGTTCATGATCGCTATGTCTATTTAAACATAATTTTAATTTGTTTAGAGCAAGAACTTCCTCGATAATTGTTTCATGGCTTGAATGAACATTTTATTTACATGATTGTCATGGGATGAGAAATTATTAAAAGACAATTTTGTGTGATCAATACTTTACTAGGTTGTCCTTTTTGTGAAAACTTAGCTTATAAACTCAAACACTAAAATTTAAAATAATCCATTCGATTAATCTAACATCAAACTATAAAAAAAAAATTCAATCCTACCTTTATGGCTAGGATTTGGATTTGAAAATTTTGAATTCAATTAAAATTTTCATATTCAACTCAAACGCCCACCCCTCACCGATGCATACCACTACCAACCAATAAAGCAAAGGCCCAAATGGCGCTACCTCACTCATTCTTCACTGTGGGCCAAACCAGATTAATCTGGGCCAAGGTCTCGAAATGAATCAAATTTCCATTTTCAGCCCATTCATAAATAGTTACTCCCTCCGTTTCAAAAAGAGTTGTCTAGTTTGACTTGACACGGAGTTTAAGAAAAATAAAGAAGACTTTTGAATCTTGTGGTCCTAAATTAAAGTTATGTCAAATGTACGAAATTATTCTTTAATCTTGTGGTTTTAAACATGTCACGTGGAAAGCATAAAGTAAAATGTTACCAAAAAAGGAAATAGGTCGTTTTTTTAAAACAAACTTAAAAGGAAAACAAGTCATTCTTTTTTGGCAGAACGCATAAGCGGCCCCTTGAACTTGCAAGGATTTTCCTTATAGACACCTGAACAAGAACTCCTTCCTATTGAACACTTAAACCACTCAAAAAGTGTACCTATTAGACACACCTGTCTGACTTGGCACTTATCGTGTGAGGCATTTGTTTTAAAGTGGAGCGCGTGACATTACACATCTCCTACGTGGAAAAATCTAATCCTAAGTGGTAATACACATCACAAAACACCCAACCCTACATCCAACCCCTCAGTCATTTCTCTAAATCCCCAAAACGTGTTCCAAAAAACCCTAGA